TTTTTTAGTTGCTATGTAAATATTCCATTGTTATATTTCTAAATGATGAATTGCATTACATGCTGTCCATATACAGAAGAAAAAAGAATTGAAGACAAAATAAATTGCTCAAGGTCAATCACTTCTATATTTGTATTCTGTCTAATTCATCAGGAAAAAAACATTTGATTACTTTAAAAGCCTACAAAGAAATTATATCAAGGCTTCCCACAGGGTAATCAGTCTGATCCAAACAAGGCCTTACATGGCTCGAAGGGAAGAGTGCCGATCAATTCTGGTTGATAGCGCATACATGCTAGGACAACTTTGCTTTTCTGAGTAACCCATAAGCTACAGCAGAGTATGGCGAAAACAAGGCAGGATTTACATCCGCAAGACAATATAGCTTAATATACTTATTATTCAATGGTTAAATATACCGTATAGATTATCTTCCCTGTTATGTGGACATGATACCATGAATAATCTGCAAAATTAGAAATATACTAACCATTTAACTTTCCCTTTTAAAACTCATAATAATACACCTGAGGTATGTCTACACATCAAAGTCGTTGTTATTAATGCGAACGACACAGATCAGACCAGCGCCTAAGGATCTTGACACGGAATCCAGCATATATAATAATGATAATAGTAGTACACCTCACAGTGAGGCTGCTCCTTGACAGTCAGGGAGACTATCACATCATCTGTAAACAAAAACCAAGAGAGCACCTATTCCTGTGCATTATCATTTATTGTAAATAAATACAAAACAATAAAAACCTACTCACAAAGGTGAGGTGCAGGCAGTGTCTGAACAAAGGAGTCACAGAATGACTATCTGCAAGGCTGTTGGAGGGTGAGATGAGACCGGCAAAGACACGCTGGTTGCTCTGTCATCCAAGGCTCCACTAACTGAACACGTTTGACTGTGATGTAAATAGTTGTATTACCTTTGTTCAGACGCTGCCTGCACCTTACCTTTGTTTTTATTGTTTCGTATTTATTTACAATAAATAATAATGCACGGGAGAAGGCGCTCTCTTGGTTTTTGTTTTCATTTCTATTAACGTAGAAACTATCTGAAATAGCCAACATGCAATAGCTGAGATTTGCTTGATTTGGCCACTACAGTACAGGGGTTTGTGGTTTCTGTGTGCTCTTCCATACCCATCAGCAACTAAGCTGATTTATGAAAACAAAGAGAAAAAATGTAAAAAGTGCTGTTTACAACAACCAGATTTCAGCTGCCATTTTCTAATTACTGGTTGCCATTTAAGCCCTGATTCACACCTGAGCGACATAGAATATGTGCGTTTTCAGCACGTTTTGTGTAGCATGTTTATGCACATTTTTATAAGTGGAAACCACATAAAGTTGTGCATTTTTGCGAGCAGACCGTAACACATTGATGTGAATGGACAAATGCGTGTAAAATGTGCATTAAAATGTGCAAAAATGCAAACCCATGTTTTTGAACATTTCCATCTAAGTGTAAGGGGCCAAAAAGCGCACAATCTGCCAAAAAGAAGCTCATGTACTTTCTTCAACGATGGGCGTTTTGCTACAAGCAGATGTGAACATGGCCATAGAAATTAATGGCTTTTTTTTTGGGGGGATTTAACATAATCCCTCTAAAATTATAGCGCTAGTTGGATTTGGCATTTCTACAGAGAAGGACTAGAGGCTTCACTTTCAAAACTGAAAATAAACAAAGGAATACTTACAAGAAAACTTAATTTGGGCTTTAGAAAATGGTTTGCAAAAATGTTAACTAATGCTGCTAGATTTTTGCAAGGTGAAAATATAGATATGACCGAAGTAAAATTGGAAATTGTTTATACTGGGCATTTTAAGGCATACAATTTACTTGCCATAGTTCACACCTACAAACAGGAATAGTTGTGAAGTTAAAACAACAACAGACAAAGCAATAATCTAGCCCCTGTGGTAGGCATTAAAACTTTCTATAGTAGGCCATATACTGCCATTGTTAGGAGGTAATTAAAAACAGCAGAACATGGTTGACAATTCACAAAATACTCACTGGCACACACAAAATCTATGATGGTTCACAAGAAAAATATTTACAGCAGTGGATTAGGATATATATATATATATATATACACACACACACACACTGAGTGGCCAGATTATTATGACCACTCCATCAGTTCTTCGTTGGGCCGCCACGAGATGTTGAAAGGTGATGCGAGGAATCTGACACTGCACTGTTGCCCTTCTGTTGTCTTGTACCAGTCTTGCCACTCTCCGTTCTGCCCTAACATTGACAAGTCGCTGACGGCCTCAATTGGCACGTTCAGACCCAGACTTTCGGCTCACAGTCCAGTCTTTAACCCCTTCATGACTGAGCTTGTTTTTAGTTTCTGTTCGTAAATGACTGACACACTTTTGACATTTTTGCTGTGTGATTCTTCCACAGTGCACCCACACATATTATATATTGTTTTTTAGAGGACAGATAGGGCTACATATTTATATCATATGTGTGTCTAACGCCTCACTTAGGACAAATAAAATATAAAACAAGAGAAAAAAAACGTTAACAAAAACACTTTTTTCCCAGTTTTGATTTGTAGTATTTTTTTTACAACACCAGCACAGCTTAAAAAAATGCAATAAATACATTAATTTATCCCTTATTTTATTTATTTTTTACACATTTTTTTTTTTACACTTTTCACTTTTTTTTTAACTTAAAAATTGTATTTTATTTATGTAATTATATAGTATATACACATACACGAGTCTTGCAGCGGACATAAGTCAAAGCATCAGAATTTTCTGGTCAACGGTCAATGGAGCTGTTTTTTCCCCCCAAGACTGAGCTCCACTGCAGGCCCCTTGAGTGCCTTTATAGCTACTTTGGATTTGTATGGATATTTTTGTAAATTAAGGGATTTACCCAAGCATTTACCTTACACATAGAATGTGGTGGCTACCACTGAGACTATATACTATGAAATTACATCGCTGCTGCAATACAAGCACACTTCCCTAAATGCTGCAAGTACAGCATTTATGTATTTATTAAAAATAAAAAATACCCACTCATCTGCCAGAAATCCAATGTATCCCTCCTGTTTGGGCTTACAACACTGCAATGAAATCCTAACCTGCCCAGTCCTCTTTTTCTGGACTAAAGAAAAGGAGTGATAACACTGCTTTGGGATTTAAAGGGTAACGTTCACCAATAAGTGCTCATCACTTGCAAACATTATGAGAATTCCATAATGCAGGACAGGGAAGTCCATTGTATGGTGTATGGAGCACTGCATTGGCTGGCAGGGAACTTCAGGCATGTAGGTCCAGTGGGGGCCAGGGGAGAGGCGGGGTGCTGTGGGTAAGTTAAAGTGACACTAAACTCAGGAGTTACATCTTAAAATGAATCCAAGTATCTTAACTATTAACAAAAATGTAGCTTATTTGTGTATCACTTGACTGTAGATCCTCAAACCATCTCTGAATTTGTGCTGACACTGTCCTTCCGTCTCGAGAGTGGCTACTTTGGTACCCCATGGTCCCTGTGTGTGTGTTGTAAAGCTCACTCCAATGACAGACTACAATCTCAATACAAATTAGTAACTAAATGTGAGATGAAGTCAAACACGGGAGAAAGCTTGGAGTGGTGACTACTTTACGACACACACACAAGGACCATGGGGAACACAAGTAGTCACCCTCCAGAAGGAAGGATAGTGTCAGCACAAATTCAGAGATGATTTGAGGATCTACAGCCCACTGATACACAGATAAGCTACAATTTTGTCTATAGTTTAGGTACATGAATGCATTTGTAAGATTTAACACCCAAGTTTAGTGGCACTTAACTTTTTTTACAATTTGTGAGAAAGTGAACTTACCCTTTAAGTGCAACAGAGGCATAGTGCACAGGAAGTTAGGATTTCACTGGTTTTCTGATAAGATCAACAGCCAATTTTTGGTACTTGCAGTGTATTAAAGGCATAAAACATGGGGAAATATGAACGTATTGCAGAGATGCGCCGCATATTTTTTTTAAAATTAATTTTGTACAGGCACATATTTTAAAGAATCAGTACACCAAAATCAAATGTTGCAGCATTTGATAAATGCTGGAGAGTAAAATGGAGTCTATGAGGATAGAAATGTGTAAGCTACCACTGATGAAGATCATAGCTTCAAATCTGACATCCTGATCATCTTCACTGACCACTTCACCACTGACCTGAACAAGTACACAGCTCAGATTTTCATCCAGTTTCAGATTTCACTGTAACATGCATGTGCCCGCTTAGTGACTCACTACATAGTGAAGCCAGGATCAGGCTGATAACCAAGAAACCTGCGCCTTGAAAGGAAAATTAGCTACATCAGCTCTATTATTTCTATCCTCACATTCACTTTAAATCACCTTAAATGTTATTGTGGCTCTCAGGGTCCTGGTGATACTCTACATATGCTTGAGTTCTTAGTTCTGCACACCACAGCATATATGAAGGGGTCCCCCTTTTCCTGCTATATATTTAAAATATTTTATACTGTGGAGAATGTAACATGGTAGGTAGGAACAATCTCAGCAGTGAGACACCATGGCATCCTGAAATAAAAACAGGAATTATGGTGGGGAGACCTTACTGCTAAGATGCCTTGAGACATATCAGAATCTAGCAAATTAAATATTTTCGGAGGGCTGACCATATTAATAGAAGCATCAGTTCTGAACAGTGACCACTGCAATCCAAGATTAGCAACAGGACTTAGAAAGGAATCATCTGCAGATCAGAATCATTCATATGCACTGATCACTTTATAAATCATGTAGTTTAAAAACAAATTGTGATTCATTTGGATGCACTACTTTAATGCACATTAAGTTAGTGCTTGCTCAGCAGTTCCAGAGTTTTCAGTCAAGACATACATGCATGCTATAGAAAAAAAGCCCTTTGAAACTAGTCATTTACACATCTGCATGGAATAACTGCAAACAGAAATATAAATTGGGGGCCACTTACTTTTGGTGTTGGGCAGGATGCAGTGGAAAGTCTTGATGTAGCCTGCGCCCTTGGTGATTCAGAAGGAGTGGTACTGAGTGATGCAGTGTCTCGTGGAAGTACTTGCACTCCACGAGAGATGATGGAATCAGGAATCTAAAAGTTTAAAATGAATAATTATAAACTTTGAAATATGAAAAAATTATGCAGTGCTCTACAAGTGCAATGACTGTTAAAACATTACTCTACAACGTTTCATGAAACTAATGTTTAGTAATAAAATATAATTCAAACTTTTGCACAAGTAAAAGGATAACCAACCAGAAAAAACCTGCTCCACTTAGCCTCTGTGGACATTACAAAGCCAAATGATGGATGTCATACTTTCCCAACCCCAATACATAATCCGCGCTATGGTCGTAAAACTTAATCTAAGATGGTTGTGTTACCACGGCAGTGCTAACAAAGTATCAAAAGATATATGCAAAAATACCCTGCGCTGGTAAATTGTTAAGTGATAAATGTTATCAAAACCGTAATGCTCATCCATGTAAATGAGAGTTTTCACCTTTACAATGGAAGTGATTGTACCTGGCTGATTCACAAAGCATATTTTCATATGGCCAAATGGGTTAAAAATAAAAAATGTCTAGTGAAATACAGAGCTGCATGGCTAACAACATATCTAGTCTATTTTCTCCAGACATGCGGTAAGAGGGTTTGAAGTTACGCAAATATTCCAAGAGAATACAAGAAAATGTAAACAAGACAAGATACAAATGTTGGTATCGGGCATTAGGTTCACTGGCTTGAAGAACTAGATGAAATGTTCCTAAGAAAAGTGACTAGATGTACAAGCCTTGCAAGTCACTGAATGTCACACAACACACTTTGTTGTATCAAGATGCCATTAGAAGTAAGCTGCAAGGAATTTCCTTCAAATAACATCCACAAAGTAAAACATATTTGACTCAAAAAACACTGCTGCATTAGTTATTTTTATTGCTAATGTGGCTCACTCTGCAATTTTTTGGTTTTGTCCATACAGACTTTGTAAATGCTATATAAGATACAGAAAGATAAAATGTCTATGTACAGTGTATATTGTTAATAACATGTATGCTTTTGTAATATGATCTATGGGTGGGTAAACCATTGGGAGGTTAGGGGGCAGCTGGCCCCAGGGCATGGTACCCAAGATGGTCATGCCTGGGGGCTCTGTCCTTGTTCCTGTTGGGGAGGGGGGGG